GCTAATCGATGCTCTCTCTCATCAATGTTTCTATCTCTCTCCCTCTCCCTTCCTCACTCTCTAAAATCAATATAAAAGAAAAAAAAAATTTTTTTTAATCCTCATCCGAGGACATTTTTTCAGTTTTTGTTCAGATAGAGTGGGAGGGAGAGAGAGGAAGAGAGAGAGAGAGAGAAACATCGACATGAAAGGGACACATTGAGTGGCTGCATCCCACACGACCCAACCAGGGCTGGGGACAAACTGTAACCGAAGTATGTGCCCTTAGTGGGAACCAAACCCGGTCTCTCTGGACTTCAGGCTGACACTCTAACCGCTGAACCAAACCGGCCAGGGCAAAAAATAAAAATAAAAATAAAATTTATTTTTAATAAATTAATTAAAAAGTTTAAAAACATGAAAAAAACAAACAAACACCAAACAAACATCCTACGCAGCCCTGCTGCAATATCTAATATAACTAAATGCTCCTTTGATTTTCATGAAGCCCTTCTCCCTCCCCTCACTAATTGGTCATTCTCATTCTCATTTGCTGGCCCCACTTCCATCCCAGTTATACCAATGTGAGAGTTGCCACCTTCATTCCCACAGTGAGCTTTTATTTCCAATATAAACCCTTTGCCTGGATGACTTCAGTCACCCCCACCACCAGCACCGGTTGAGATCCCCAACTCTGCACCTCCAGCCAGACCTTGCTCCTCAGCTGCACGTCTGTGCAGTCAGCTGTCCACTAATGCCACCTGTTTGTATAGCCTAGACACTTCCCAACGATAACCAAACTGACTTCCTCCAATCTCCATACCAGCTCCTCCTCCTGCCTGTTTGCTAGCATAGGACCTATTTCAAGATGCTGCCACAATCGCGGCCTCTTTCCAGGACCCCCAGTCTTTGCACTTGCTATGACCACTCTCTAGAAAGTTTCCTTTGACACTAGCCTTCCCAACTCTTACTATCTAATAGGAAACCTTGCCTGGTGGTATGGCTCAGTGGTTGAGCATGGACCCATGCACCAAGAGGTCACCGGTTCGATTCCCGGTCAGAGCACATGCCCAGGTTGTGGACCTGATCCCCAGTGGGGGACATGCAGGAGGTGGCCAGTCGATGTTCTCTCTCATTGATGTTTCTGTTTCCCTCACCCTTCTAAAATTAATAAAGAAAAAAATACTTAAAAAAAAAAAAAAAAAGAAAGCCTTGTTTCCCTATCCCCACATCATACAAGCAGAACTGTCTCTCCTCTCCTCTGACAACACTGCTACCTCCATCAAGACATCCCTTCTGCATTGTGCTTATTTGACTTTCGTACTGTCCAAACCCCAAGGGCAGGCACTCGGGCTCCATCACCTCCTCCAGGGGACGAGAGTGCCACTACTTGTGAGTAGGTAGCCCAGAGGAGCGCGAGGCGGGGGTAGGACCCCGAAGTCCGCTGACTTCCGCACCGAGGTCTTACCTCTATGTACTCTTCTTCGTCCAAGACCCGTTGCTTCATCGTCGCAGCCCCGGCCTCTCCTGCCGCCCGCTTTCTCCCGGGCCTGGACACGGTGGAGAGCAACAGCGCCCGGGGAGAAGCACCGGGGGTCTCCATCGCTATCCCAGGGCTACTCAGAGCTACGTCACTGCGTCAGAGGGGCGGGATTGTGTTGGATGCACAGGCACTTCCAACAGTTGACCAATGGGAGAACTGCGCGTTTCGAAGGCCAACCCGCGCTCCGCAATAACGTCACAAGCCCTCAACCTGATGGGAATTGTAGTCTTCTTCCCTCCCCGCGTTGTTCATGTATATCTAGATTGTGGGCACTAGGCGGCGCTGTGGTAGTGGGATTAAGGATCATGTAATTCAAGCTAGTCATGAAAAGTTCTTGCAGAGTCTGTAAAGCCTTTGAATTCTTATTTACCACCAATAATCATGCGTATGCTTCTATATTATTAACAAAAACACACTCTTCATAAAATTTGGTTATATACGCGCTTCAAAGCTTTTATTCAAACTTTATGCAAGAAAAGAACCCTAAGACAATTCTTTCTTGATAGTTATATAACAGAAGAAAAAAAAGAAAGAAAACTACAATGGTTCGATAAAGAAATATCTGGTTAAAAAATGATCAGGTCCCGCCCTGGCCGGTTTGACTTAGCGGTTAGAGCTTTGGTCCGCGGACCGGAGAGTCCAGGGGTTTAGTTCCGGCTAAGGGCATGTACCTCAGTTGCAGTTTGTCCCCAGCCCCTGATGGGGTCCTGTGGGTGGCAACCACTCAATGTGTCTCTCTCACATTGATGTTTCTCTCTCACTTTCTCCTTCTCTCCTTCCCACTCTATATGAAGATAAATGCAAAAAAAGTGTCCTCGGGTGAGGATAAAAAAAAAAAAATTATCAGGTCCCAAATGCCAGAGTGGCCTTCCCAGAAGAGGGTTAATTCTCATTGAAGTGGACCAAAAACTTGCCTAAGCATTTTTCAGGACTGATCATTTCTTTCCAAAAAGAGGTTGTGAATTACATCAAACAAGTAAGTTTTGCCCCAACGTGATTTAGTACAATAAGCAGTCATCCCTTTATTCACTGGGGACTCCATGGTGATGGTTCCTGCCCTCAGAGAGCTGACAGTCCAATGAAGAAGACAGACTCCGATTAGGTCCTCCCACCAGCTTGAGGAATCTTGCCTAGGGGCAGTCAAGGGAAGTTTTCCTGGGCAGGATGTGATTGCAGATCCAAAAGATGAACAGGCATTGATCAGATGGAGAGGAAAAAGCATGGGCAAAGAGCAGCACAAGGAAGAAGACCTTTGGATATGGAGAGTACAAGGAGCAGTGAGGTGTGACATAATGCCAGAAAGGCAGACCAGGCTGCAAGGGATGTAAAACCTGTGGGTCATGGAGAGTTTTGTCTTTTCTGTAGGAGCAATGGGAAGCCCTTAGAGTGCTGTAGGCAGGTTCAGACTTGTAGATTTTATGGAGAATGAATTAAAGAGGAACCAGAGTGGATAGAGGTGGCAGGGGAGCCTCACAGGTCAAGGTGAGAGATGGTGGAGGTTTTCATCAAGTTGGTGCAATTGAAGCTGGGGAGAAGGTAGATTCTTGGATTGTTTTTGGAAGTGAGATCAACTTCCTGTTGGCCTGTGTCTGGTGGATGAAGGAGAGGAGGGGCAGGATGAGTGCGTGCCTTCTGGTTCATGCACCTGGTAGGCACAGGGGAAGATCTCATCTTCCCAGGACAAGGTGACTTAGAGGAGCTGTGGGCTTCTAGGTAAAGTAGTCAAAGGGACCAAATATCTAGTTCAGGGGAGAGGTCTGAGCTGGAGAGGTAAATGTGGCAGCTGAGAATGGAAGAGATAAACCAGGGTGAGAATGAAGATGAGAGGGGAGTGCCTGACACAGCCTCCAGGACACCTATATTAATGACCAGCTGTGGAGGTGAGCCTGCCCAAGAGCAGCTAGAAAGAAAGGAGAAAAATCAAGAGAACAACATAGGCGCTGGTCCCTTGAAGGTGGAACTCTGATCCTGGCTGCCCACAATGACAAATAACCACTAAGCCAAAGAGGGCAAGGGTCCTGGAACCCAGCAAGATGAGAGTGTCCCAGCCTGCAGGGGAGCTTCACAGACAGATTGCGTAGTAGCCAAGGCCAGGATTCAGAGAAAAGAGTTTGGTGACAGCCAGAAGTGTGCATCCTGGGAGGTGAGGCAACAGCTGCTGTCTTGGAGGCACCTAGCAGTTTTAGGGCAGCCCTGCCTGGGAACACCATGTGCTGGGTGTTATCTGAGCTGGCCAGCCTTGGACAGTTCCAAGAACTGCATCCTTGACTTCTGCGACTTTTATGGATAAACTGTGTCTCCTACCAGATACTCCTCCTAAACTCCCTCCAGGACCTGTGAGGGGGCAGAACAAGGTCCTCAAGCCAGATGAGGGGGATGTTAGGTTCCTTGGGCCCACTGTTCGGGTCTACTTGGGAAACTGAAGTTGTATTTCCACACTATCCTTCATCCTGGGGGCAGGATGATGGAGGGGAGAGCAGACATTTTCCAAGGCAGTGTGTGTGGGTAGGTCTCCCCAACTGAGCCTCTTCTTGTCCTACAGGGTGGCAGAGATGGACTGTGAGGGATGCAGACACCACATCATGAAAATCCCTGCCCCCCCAGGGAGGAAGCAAGGACTTCCTCCCATGAAGCAGCACCTAGAGGCCAGTGAAGGCCCCCAGGGTGCCAGGCCACTATTGGTGGAGCAGTCTGCTCTGCTGGGGGCACCCTGGTGCAGAGACTGAGTACTCACTGGGCTGTGCTCCCCAAGATAAGCTGCCAACCCCCAACCCCACTCCCTTGGAAGGAGAGGAAAGGCAGGTTCCAGCTGGGTGTGGGAGTGGAGCCAGGGCAGACTGCTTTTGTGGTGATTTTAGCTGCTTGTTTATTTTTCATTATTGCCACAGGCTCTCAGGATTGGGGAGGGAGACTGTCCTGGAGAGACCTCAGCCAACTTTCTTATTCTAAAGGTCTGAACACAGAACCCAGCGCAGTACCTTCGAGCTGGCAGAAATTCCGGGATGCACAGACACCACCCACCCTGCCTGGGGAGGGTTGTAGGCCAGGTCAGGGGGGTACGTCCAGGCTGAAGGCAGGAGGGAGGCCAGCATGCCCAGGAGGATTCTAGGTCCCTTAGGGACAACGGGTGGTTCCCCTTCTGGGGCAGGTTAGTGCCTGGGAGAGGGGTGAGGAAGCTGACCTGTTCTGTGCCCCACGCCCCTACCTCCCAGGGAATCTCTCCGTCCTCTGTCCCGCTTGCCTTTGGGGAGGAGAGCGCACCTTGGTACTCGGTGTTCTCTCCTTTCATGGGCAGGTGGCGCAGGGACAGACTTATGATCCTGCAGAGGGGCTCATGCGTCCAGCACTAGCTCCAAGACCCAGGAAGCTGTGCAGACGGGAGGAGGCAGGAGTCCCCCCTCAACTCCTTTTTGGGCAGGACAGCCGATTCTCCGAGCTGGCCCGGGCGCGGCCAAGCACAGAAGTAGCTCACAGAGGATCAGCAGTTCTCCTTGGAGGGCTTCTTGGCTCCGGGCAGGAGCCTCGCGGCCGCGGACACTCGCTTCTGGTGTCGCCATTTGGCCCGGCGGTTCTTGAACCAGACCTGAAGAGAAGGAGGGAACTGCTCAGGCAGGACCCGCGTCCCGCCGGGACCCCATAGGTGGAGGTCCCCACGGGCGTGTGGGTGGACGAGAGCTACGGAGCCGGCACCGGGTAGCGGCTGCTCGCCACGATCTCGATCTCGGGACGGGAACCCCTTTCCCACTCAGAACAGCCATCCCCTCCCAACCTCTTCCCAACCTCACCTCCGCCCCGCGGCGCCCAGGGCGCCCCTCCTGCTGTTCTGCGCTCTTTCGAGCTTCCCAAATTCTGGAACTGGAACGCGCGCCTCATTTACAATCAGGAGAAAATAAAGTTTAAAACAAAGGAAGGGAAAACTAGCCTTACCTCCCTTTCAGTTCCAGCGGTATTTTCCCACACGTGCCTGTCCCCGCGCGGCCCTCGCCCCATCGCCGTCCGGGGTCTCCCGCACCTCCTCCCGCTGCCGCCCCCGCCCCGCCCCCTGCGCCAGGGCCATCTTTTCTAACGGAGGAAGGAAGACAGCTGGCCCGGACCCTTTGGGGCGCTCTGGCAGTCCAGCGGGCTGGCCCCCACCTCCACGCGCTCCTCGCGCAGGCGGATGCGGCCGGCCAGGCGCTCGCGCGTGCCCACGTCGGGGTACTGGTTCTGCACGAAGAGCGCCTCCAGCGCCTGCAACTGCTCCTCGCTGAAGATGGTGCGGTGGCGCCGCGTGCGCCGCTGCGGGCCGGGGCCTCCCGTGCCGGGCAACGCCCCGGAGTTTCCGGGCGGCACGGCCAAGGGCAGGGGCGCCGAGGGCCCCAACCTCAGCGGCCACGGCAGCCGCGCGCCTGCGGGACGAGGGCGTGGTGAAGCGCGGGGCGAGGGTCGCACTCCTCACCCACCTCGCCGCGACCCCGGGCCTCCCACGCCCCCGCCGGGCGCCCACTCACCCAGCCCAGAGGCCGGCTCCGGGGACCTGCGGGGACAGCAGCAGCAGCAGGCGCAGGGCGCGGCCTCGGGCTCCCCAGGCTCCCCGGGCGCCGCAGGGGTTTGGCGGCCCGCTGGCTGCGGCGGGCGGGCGGCCCGGGCCGGGGGACTTCGCTCGGGCAAACTGGAAAGGATGTGCTCGATAGAGAAGGGGCAGGGCCGCCCGGAGCCCCTGCGGCTCGTCGCGCCCCCCGCCGCCGCCATGCCGGCCAGGCCGACGCCGCCGCCGCCGCCGCAGGAATATATACGTCGGGGGGAGCGCGCCGTAATCCCCGGGCCGGGCGCCTGGTCCACGCGGCTTATCCCGCCGCGTGGCCAGGAGCGCGCTAATCCCCGTCCGCCGCGGCGGGAAATCTTGCACTGAAACGGCGCGCGGGGGCCGGCCGAGCCTGGGGATGGGGCCCGCAGGAAGCGCTGGAGCCCAGGTGCGTCCTTCTGTCCGGCCAGGTAGACGCCGGAAGGAGGACCCGGAGCGCGCCACCCACCTCCCGCGGGGCCTGGTCATCCTCGCTCTGCTGCTAGGGAAGAGGCCCCGAGGACTCCCTGACCCTGGCAGCCCCCAGAACGTGGCCGCGCCTCCTAGCCAGACGCCAAGTCCCTTCCTCCTGTAGCTACGGCGGCCGGGGCTGCTCCTCGTCCCCTTCGGGGCGAGGCGGATGAACAAGTCTGGAGAAACTCACCCAAACTGCACCGTGCCCTAGCCCCCAAACAGCTGGGCCTGAACCTCAAATGGGGCCTGGCACTATCAGTAACCCCATGATCCCACCAAACTCTTGGGCCCCAAACCTCCCACCCACTTCAGAGCCGGGTCTCAGCCTCCTGGAGGAAATAGGGCGAGGGCAGGAGCTACGTCTGCTCATCACCAAACCGGAAATCCAGGGCCCCATTCCAATTATCTGCCTTCTCTCCTGGGTCAGGGGAGCCTATACAAGCCCTAAAATCACGTGGCATTGGCTTTGGGACTGGACAGTGGGTCATACACGACGGTGAGGAAAATGCTATTGGAACATGGGGGGAAGGAGATCCTTGTTATAGAGCAGCAAGAATTTGGCAACATTGTCACCTGCAGTAGAGCAGGAAAGAGAAAATTGGAAGTGTACCTAATGAATGAGATGATCTAGCTAAGGAGATACCCAGAGGGGATGTTGAAAGAGCTGCCTGGCTTCTTCTAGCTACCTGTGATGAATGGAGAAGAGGAGAGAACTGAGCTGTAGAGGAAAATGTTCAGGATAAAGAAGCCAGCCTGCTGAGAAATACACACCAATGCGTGAACCAGCAGTTCTGTTCCTGGGGATTCACCCTAGAGAAGTGAAAACTTCTGTTCATACAAAATGCTGCCCATGAGTGTTTAGAGCAGCTTTATTCATCATTGTCAAAGCTTAGGAACAATCCAGAAGCCCATTAGATGGTGCGTGGATAGTCACACCATGGCCCACCACGCCAGGGATGAACCTAGAGTGACAGTGACACACACAGTGACACAATAGATCTAGAAACTTTGTGCTGAGTGAAAGAAGCCAGTCTCAAAAGGCTACATACCTTGTGATTCCATTTATGTGACACTTTGGAAAAGGCAACTTTAAAGTAACAGGGAACACATCATTGGTTGGGGTAGAGGGGGACTAGAAGTGAGTTTTTTGGGGTGAGGGAGCACCCAAGGGAGATGGGAGAGGAGAGAGGAAGATGCTTAGACGGAGGCTGACTCCACTATAGCTTGGGGTGTCTGGGTCACCTTGAGTGAGGTTGGGGTGCACAGCCTCCCCCACCAAGGTGGCTCCCATCTGGCTGACACTTCAGAGAAGCAGTCAGTTGTGAGTCACCAGCTCACATCTTGGTGGGGAGGGGCTCTGGGTGGGGCACTTACCTAGCCCTCCTGTGCTCAGCCCCCTGCTGCTTCTCAAGTTAATTTCAGGGCATTCAGGCTCCCCAGGATTCTGGGCAGATGGAAGAGAGGAAGGGTGGTGGGACAGGCTTCGGCTTCTGATGCTTGAGTTGGTCGTGAGGCTGTACCAGGCTCCCCCTCTACCAGGAGTGGTGGGTGCTTGAGGTCAGCCAGTGGACAGGAAGATTTAACATCCTGCTCCCAGGATCTGAGCTCAGTACCCCTGCTGTGTGGGAACCCCTTTGCTTGCTGTCATGAGGAGCCAAATGACCCTGCAGCTATCATAGTTCCTGTTCTGTGCCACTCTTACTGTGTTCCTGGTGAGAGCAGCCCCTCCAAGACCTAGAACCTAAAGACGTGAGGATGTCAACTCAGATTCCCCAGCTGGGTCCCTGGGGATACTGGGGAGTAGGGCTCGCCACCTCCACCCCAGGTCCAGACCCATCTTTTCCAGGAAATAGAAACCCGGCACCATGCCATACCAGTTCTGTAGGTGCCTCTTCCCTTGACTGCCTCGTCTTCGAAATTCTATTCTGGCTGTCCAGGCTCCAGAACCAACATACTCAACAGTTTGCTGTGGCCCTGGGGTCCCTCTGTCCTTTTCCTCAGCACTTCGCCCTCCATACGACATGTATGACATGGTGCTCCATAGAAGCACTGCCCTTTGGAAACTTTCCCCTCACCGCTGCTGTTCAGGACCATCCAAGGTGTCAGCGAATGAGGCCACATGGGGATGTCATGCAGCTTACTTATGCCATCTGGATTTTTTGGGAGCTAATCCTGGCAATGCCTCTTCCATTGTGTGACAGTACCTTAAGCTTTGGTGGCTCTCACAGTACCCAGCTCTGCTGAGCCATTCTGGCCACAGGGTCACTTCATAACCCAAGGTCAGATGCTCAGTTTCTGCCAGGGCCAGTAACATGCCAGGAGCTGGTTTGTGAATGGGTATGGCATGGCCTCGCTCCAGAACTCTAGGAGTTTACACTGCAGCTCTCCCACCAGAAACTACCTGACACCCCAAGTGAAATCTGTCTCAGCTGTAGCATTTGCCATGGGCTCTGCCAGGTTACAGGCCAGGCACAGGGCTGCTGTGTCAAAGCCTAGGCCTGCTGTAGATGCCTTTTCTGCTCTGGGTTCTACTCAAAGCTGGCATGCTCTGTCTCATCCAACAAATTGGGGCAGTGTTTCCAAGTTCAGAACATGCTGCCTCCAAAATCCAGAGAAGCCTCCCTATGGTGTGTTCTTTCTCGGTGGTAGAGGTTCGGGGTGCAATTACTTGATCTTTACTTTGAGGGTGTGTTCTAGCATGGGAGCATAGGACCACCAGACTTCTAAGAACTTGGTTTATTAATCTTTTTATTATTGGGTTGTAAGAGTTCTTTATTTAGTCAAGATACAAGTCCTTATCAGATATATATAACTTACAAATATTTTCTCCCATTCTATGGGTTGTTTTTTAGTTTCTTTTTTTTTTCAGTCCTCACCCAAAGATATTTTTCCGTTTATCATCAGATAGAATGGGAGGGAGGGTCAGAGAGAGAGAGAGAGAGCAAAACATTGACATGAAAGAGACACTGGTTGCCTCCCTCACGACCTGACCAGGGCCAGGGACGAACCGCAACTGAGGCACGTGCCCTTGACTGGAATTGAACCCGTGACTTTGGTCCTTGGGCCGATGCTCTAACCACTGAGTGAACCGGCCAGGACTGTTTTTCACTTTTTTTTTTATCCTCACCTGAGGATATTTTTCCATTTTCTGTTCAGACAGAGTGGGAGGGAGAGAGAGGAAGAGAGAGAGAAACATCGACGTGAAAGGGACACATCGAGTGGCTGCCACCCACATGACCCAACCAGGGCCGGGGACAAACTGCAGCTGAGGTGCATGCCCTTAGCAGGAATCGAACCCAGGTCTCTCTGAACCGCAGGCCGATGCTCTAACTGCTGAGCCAAACCGGCCAGGGCTGTTTTTCACTTTCTTAGTGGTGTCCATTAAAACACAAAATTTTTAATTTTTTAATAAGTCAAATTAATATTTTTCCTTTGGTTGCTTGTGCTTTTGTTGTCATGTCTAAGAAACCATGATCAAGTCCAAGTCATTAAGATTTGCCCCAATGTTTTATAGTTTTTATAAACCATAAGTTATTTATCTATTTTTAATTTATTGATGAGAGAGAGAGAGATCGATTCTTATATGTGCCCTGATGGGGTATCAAACCCATAACCTTGGAGTCTCAGGACAATGCTCTAGCCAACTGAACTACCTTGCCAGGCCTCAGCTATAAGTTTTATAGTTTTAGCTCTTACACTGATACATTTTGAGTTAATTTTCTCATATGATGTGAGGTAGGGTCTAATTTTATTCTTTTGCATGTGGCTGTGCAATTGTCCCAGTATCATTTGTTGCAAAGATTATTCTTTCCCTTGTATTATTTTTGCAGTCCTGTTGAAAATCAATTGACCATCAATGAGAGGGACTTATTTATTCTGAATTATGCTTTGTTGATCTATATGCGTCCTCTTAGGGCAGTACTACACTGTCTTTTTTTAAAAATTTTTTTCTTTATTGATTTTAGAGAGAGAGGAAGAGAGAGGAAAAGAGAGATGGAAACATTGATGAGAGAGAACATCGATTGGCCGTCTCCTGCATGCCCCTCCATTGGGGATCGGGCCCACAACCTGGGCGTGTGTCCTGACCGGGAATTGAACTGGTGACCTCTTGGTACATGGATGGACACTCAACCGTGGAGCCACATCGGCTGGGCAATAGGTTCTACTCTAAGGGTTAAAAACCACTGTGGAAGTTCTGCCAAATACTAAATATGTATATTCCAATTACACATTCAGAAATTGGAGAAACAACCAGCAGGTAGGTTACGAACCCCAGGGATCCACTGTGAGATGGAATCAGGCCAGTATGCCATTTATTGCCTGACCTCTCTACACCCCATTCTAACAGGGAGGCCATGATGGCACTTTGGGTCCCAGGCATCAGTGTTAACCTGGAATCTGTATCCAACAGCTCTAAAATGGTCTGGGTTTCTAGTATACAATTACTTGAGTAAATGGACATAGGGTCTCTTTGAGAAGGATTAGGGGCATCGCTCCTATAAATGTTTTTCATGGTGTTGCTGAATCCTTTCTCATGGGAAGGAGACTTCAGCAGATGGGATCTGGGCCTGAGAATTAGCTAGAAATTGGGCAAGAGATCATGACCGTCCATTGGGTCTGGTGATTTTGGCCTTTTGCGTGTCTATTTTTTTTTTAATCCTCACCCAATAATATTTTTCCATTGATTTTTAGGTAGCGTGGGAGGGAGGGAGGG